TTAACTTCTTCCTCTCGGATTATGGGGGGATATGCTCTGGATCAAAACATGTTACTTACGAAAAAGCTCCTGATGGAGCTTTGGAGTAGTCTCTGAAACCTCCTTGATTTGGAAGAGATTTGGGGCAATTCTATTCCCACATAAAATGGGTCATATAATCCACCCACTGACCTGGCTAGACATACCATGCCCATGTAACCAAGGCGAGGTAGTTCGTCTCTGCACTGAATCTGGTTTTCAGTGACAACCTTCATTCTTCCCTCAAACTCTACAGTCATAGAATGCCAAATGTATATACATTGGGGAAAGGGTGGGGAGCCAATACACCTCGGGCCCCTTGCAGAATGGTAGTAGCTAAATATTGAGCCTGCTCACAAATAATGTGCTTTAGCTACTTTCCTTATGACAGAAACTACAGAAGTAACTGAAGACTTACTGTAGATTTATTTCTAGGGAAAAGAGAGTATTGAAAAACACAGAATAAAATTGATTTAAAGCCAAGGCAAATGGAATGAATGGCTTTTTCCAGTTCATAAAATATCTTATAGTCTTTCCATATTCATACTGAGTATGTAAGGGGACAATCCATAATTATCTTAGCAGACTATACTGATGTTTCCATACACTGTAACAGTCCCAACTTGGAATAGTATATAAATTATAGAAAAGATGTCTATAGTGAGATCCAGTACTCAGTTACAACTGCATTTATTTTTTAATTGTAGTTTGCATGAGCTATTTTTTCTCCTAATCTGCAGTTACTAACCCAAATCATAAGTCCAATCATTAAAGAGGAAAAAGTAGCATGTTTCACATGCAAAAAGCCCCCAAATACTAATCTTCCTTTTGGAAACACAAACAGCATATGTTATTGACATATGAAATGCCACTATTAATACATGCAAAACCCCCACACTACTTGATTAAAAATACAGGTAATTAAATCAATAAGTAGGTCATTTCAAGTCTAATCCTTTATCTGCTGTAACCTTTACATAGTATTTCAAAAAGGGTAATGACTTATGACAAAACTCTGTCAAAAGTTCGGAAATACTGAAAAGAAATTTACTGAGGTTTGGAACAAATGTAAAATTTCATAAGATTAGAAAAAAGAAGGTTTAAAATAATTAAAGCATGTGGCTTAGAAAAGTCTGAAACAATAATTAACATCAGCTCTAAGGCTCCTGGTTCACCTACTACTCCATGAATTCCAGATTCCTGATTTCCTGTAGTGGATCTGTACCCTTCTAGAGACATCCACCAGCACCAGATGTCCACCATGCATACGACAGTCATGTAGAGCATCAGTCATGTAGAATAGAGAACCAGCAGTTGGTCTGCTTAAATTCCTGAGCTCTCAACAGTTTCTGAAAAACACACTATCTCTTGTTGTGTTTTTCTGAGTGTTTCCAGGTTCCTCCCTGCAGCCTGGGTTCCTATCCCAGAAGTGAAGAATTCCTCTGGCGCCGAGTTGTAAAGTAGTCTGCAGTGATCGTAATGTGCTGATGCTGTATTGAAGTTGTGGACCCTGGGACATATGCTACCTAGACTATTTGCATGTCATCAGAAGATAGCTCTGACGTATTTCCAAACAATATTTTTACATCATCCTCTGAAAAAATGTTTTGTCAGGACATTTTACGATCAGTTCTCCTCAGGAGCACAAACGCCACTTAAGTCAGCAGGATTTGTATATGTAGATAGGTATCCCAGTATAGATAGGTATCTCAGTTAATTTGCAAATTCTAGGCAATGTGTGTAGTCCTATTTATTTCAAGAAGAGTAAAAATTGGCATAAATAACAACATAATGTTAAATACCTAGTCTCCTTGCTAGAAAGCCTTGCTAAATAATCTTTCATATTACTAGCTAAAGCTTGGGACACACGTTACTTACTGACTTCTCAAACCATTTAAGAGATGGTGTTAACAGGACCCAAAGGGAAAAATCTATCTGTGAATTTCAAGCTGAAATAAATTCTTCTTCATTTACTCAGAAGGATGAAGGAAAAGCCACCATGTGTGATATAAATACGTATTCCTCTTCCCGAAGACATATAACTTCCATTGTCAAAGCTGATGAAATACGAAACAGAGACTATCGAATAAGCAGTGAAAAAAATGTATGTTTTTTCTAGTTTTACTAACCTAGAACAAACCAAATAAAAATAGCAGACTTGGTAGATAAAAGGCATAAAATTTTTAAATTAATACCCTTGCCAAGTATTGTCTGTCATATAATCAACAGTGATTATATTTGTATTGTGTTATCTTTGAAATTTCTGAATAATGATACAGGCTAGTTGTAGAGTAGTTTAATTGAGTTACTTATGTTTAATTGCACCTAGGTATAAAATATCTCTTAAAGCTATATCTGCCTATATGTTACTTTATTTTAATTACTATTAACTCCCATTTATGCCAAATATTTACACAGTAATATGCAATATAAATATACTCTCTGAAAATAGCTCTAAATATAATCTGGAGAACACTAAATCAGAACAGGACACTTGTATGTTTATTTCACAGATGAGGAGTTCTTAGTATTAAAACAAATCCAACTTCCTCTTTTGTCCTTTAATATAGTGGAGATTTGAAATGATACTCGGAACCTACTCAAAACTGTCAGAAGAGAGGCAAGGCCTTTTTGACTCTTGCAGACTTTAAGAAAAATCTGTGTTACTGCTGAAAGTATATCTGGGTTGGGTGCTAAGCACCATCTGCAATATTTTGGCAGCCAAGATTTTACAAAGGGTCAATTAAACTTGCAATAACTAAGTTAGTTAGAAAATTTACCTTGGACTTATGACTGCAGCCCCACGTCCTGTCGTCAAACTAAGAAACACATTTACCTTCAGCGCTCCCTTTTACAAAGTACAATGTAAATAAATAGTCACCTTATAAAAGAAATTGGTGCGTCCAACAGATCCAATTTTTCCTGTGTGGTTCATGAAACAAATGTTTCCTTCAGTAGCACCATAAAACTCACAGATCTTAACAGCACCAAATCTGTCTAAAAATTCTCTCCATACATCATTTCTTACTCCATTTCCAACTGCTAGTCGGACTTTGTGATTTTTTTCTCCTTCCTTCTGTTAAAAAAAGAAAAAAATAATTTAAAATATAGTATACTGATAACTGCATTTGATTGTTGCATATATTGTAGGGAGAATGTACCTTCTTTAAATACATCAAGTATAAACAACAACAACAAAAAAGAAAAACAACAATTAAGAATTAAAGAAAGCTGGCATAGCTCGCCTATGGCTACAATGTAGCAAATTGCAATCAAAAACCTATCACCTTGTTGAACAAGCAAATTATTTCTGAATAATGGCTACATTAATTTATAGAAATGCTTCCATATTTTAAAAGTTGTATCATCTCTGTCTGTTTCCACTCAGAGGAATTAGAAAACCGGGAAGAAAGAGAAAGGCAGGAATTATTTCTGTCAAGGGATTAAAGTCAGCAGAGATTAATAGTTACTTTCTTGTGTCTTCAGACTGATTATAAGAAACAATCAGATTTCACACACTTGCAATATCTGTTCCTTCCCACACATTGCGTATGAGTCATCTTCTGTATTTCTTTCAATATTAAGACTTGCAAGGTTTTGTTCAATGTTACTTGGAATACATTATTTCTTGGTGGTCTTGAGTCTTTACTGTCATCAGCTCCCATGTTTTATTACAAGAAACACAACAGTATGTGTTCATCCAGTTCAGTAAGACTCTCTAATTTTATGAATACATTCCCAAACCTTGCGATTGCATGGAGCACCTTTAAAATACAGTTACATTTAAGCTGAAGTATCAGAAGGCAAAAGATCTAAAATGGTTTTTTGTTTTTCTTTTTTTAATTTCATCTCTTTTAAAATAAGACTCCTTTTTTAATCATTGCAAGTGGCAATACAGAATGCCCTAGAAGTGAGACAGCACAAAATAAATATACCTTTAGAACTGCATAGCACTCTGATACCGCAACACTGTCTGTAATACCTCTATATATGTACACTTATACAAATACCTCTCTATATACACATGCACATATATGCACATTTTCATACTCTTTTTATATATATCTATGTGTATGTGTATACATAGATACACGTCCACTTACATATACTAAAGAAAGCAGCTAGTCCCTGTTTTCTGTTTTTCTATTCTTTTCCCCTCCCAACTCTAATCCAGTATGAATTAGGTATGTCTTTATAGTGAAAATCCATTTTAGCACCTTTAATCTGGCATAAAAGCACAGAAAATTATTTCTGCAAAGAGATCTGATCAGCTGACTGAAACAGGAATCTTCAAATATTTTGGATGTTAAAAACAGTGAAGCTTCTACTGAGTATATAGACAGGAGTCCACCTCGGAGGCTTATGTCTTGGCCAAATTCAATTTTTCATGAGGATTGTGAATTCTCACTTCTGTAACAAAAACTGCAAGCACAGTGAAATTTTAAGTTCCTCCCCTAAATCACAAAGACCGACCAAGTTTTTTTATTTCCTCTTCAAAACCAGTAACTCATAGAAAGATACAAATTTCCTTTATTGAGCTTCAGGGTCTTTCTTCTGGAAATTAAGTCCTCCTGCTGGAATGATTCAGCAAGGAACTCACCTGTTTCACTAGATGCAGATAGCTCTTGGCAGATTACAATCTGAGGCATTATCCCGCTATTTACGTCAAAACTACATCACTCATCAGCCTCCCTCGGTCACTAACCATTCTGTTTTTATAACAACCCAACTCTTCCCTTTTCCCTTCTCCTCTCCTACCTTACTTTAGATGCAAAAGTCATTTCTAAACACACAAGCACATACTTCACTGACTTCATGCTAAATAATTATTAACAAGTACTGTATTACATAGTACAATGAAACTGACCATGGACATAGCCTGGAACAAGGTGTCTAAAAATTGCCCATAGATCTAATTTTTGGAATGGTTTGTTTTTTCAACTTCAGATGCAATATCACAATGCAACAGTGTAGATTTTCATATATCTGAAATAATAAGGTCTGTTACATTACACATTCAAAATCATTCTACTGTCAACGAACAATGAAAGTGTTCCTTTTTTAAGAGAAAGTGTTTCAGTACGATTTTGAACTCTGTCAGGAAAGCTTTTAACTCTTTTTTTTTCCCCCAGAAAATTGTCTACCATCTTTGGAACATTCCACTCAGCTCAACTTAAAACTTTTCAAAGTGGTTTATTGTCCTTACAGTTTCATTGCTAAACTGAAACTAACATGTCAGCAACTGAACTGCAGTTACCCCTTGCCGACGCCACTGAATTATTCAAAGGTACCACCTCTGCTAAGATATGAAAAATAGCACAAGAGATTCTTTCACAGAAATCCTTTGTTCCACAATGAACAGATGAGGCAAATATGTGCGTATATATACACACACTAATTAAGTGGGTCATTCATCAGGCTAGGAACATTCAAAATCTCTAGAGACCAACTTAATAGGCAGGTGAGTTTGCTTTTATTATTTGTACTTTAAGAAAAATAAAAGCATTGATGGCTGTTTGCTGAAAAGACACAAACTAGGATGAACTAGAAAACAATGGCCTATGGTTTTTTCCCAAAAGGACAAATAACAGCATCATTTATAAGTACGGTTACTTCAATTCCGTCAATTCCTCCTGGTATTTTGGCTGGTTTATATCACTACAGCACAAAGTTGTTTCTCTAGTGGAAAAGACACAGAGTAAACCTGACAGGTCAGCATTCTACTGTGCTTGCAATGTTAACACCTATCAAACATACAATGTGTGACTATCTCACTTTAAGAAGTATTCCCTTAAGGCATTCAGCCCTTTTGCAAAAACACAAAGAAGGTGTATGATGTCATCAAGAAGGGATCACAGAAAGCAAAGTTTCTTAAAAGAGGGCAGTAATTCACTTCTTCACAACTAAGGTAAATTTTCTGTTAAACTGCATTGCTGCAACTGCCGTATTTGTGATGTAGTCAGCTCCGCCACAGTTGTACCCACCCGTTGATACAAGATACCCCAAAGAGCACTGCAAGGCTTTCTGGGGAAAAGGCATACAAACTGTCATGCATTTAGCAGTCTTTCAACTGTGAGAATGGAAACTATATGTAATTTAATCTCCCAGCAGGTTTAATAAGTATGAAGAGAATGATTATAAAAAGGGAAACTTTAAACAGTGATAATTCACATTAGTTTTACATGTGAGCAAATTCATATAGCTATTTTTTACATATTGTTACCTAAACTTTTCTATAACTAATATATGACATTAATTCATGTTAGCTTTATGTGTAATTAACTTTCAATGGAAAGTGAACCACAGTAAATAAAATGGAGTTAGCCATTTTAACATCTTTCTCATGACTCGATCTATGTATTCATCATCTGTATTATTGTCCACATCACAGCCAGATCCCAACTTCAGGGCAGGCATGTTGGTATCCATGGGCACTGTGGCCAAAAACTTACATGGTAACTAAAATGCAATACATAAGAGAAGGAAAGAAAAAGGGATGATAATTCCAACAAATTCCAGAAACATGGTTGAGTGATGCACACTTAGGGTATCCTAATGTATGAAAATGGAAATAAATTAAATATGCAGGAAAACTTATGCTTTAAACAGATTATGGCACCAAACAGTCATGCTTTGAATTTCTGCCATATTCAGACAGCATTTCATCAGCTAGCTTCCCTTAGAGTAGAGTAGATAGAATTATAGGAGTAGGAGGAATTCCAAGGAGTCACCTAGTACACATCTCTTCTGGGAGATAGGCTCTGCTATCCCTGTGCCATTCTTGACACTTGAACTAGCTGTGGCACATCAGCCAGTTACCGTACAACACTTGATATGCAGCAATTGTCTGCATGCATATTCTTAGCCTGCTGCAACAGCATAGTACCTAGTTAACACTTCCTTCACTAAAAGCCATATTTCCTCACAATATCTCATTTACGAAGGACTCAGTGCCTTACCCTGGTCAACTATCACAAATAAGTTCAAGTAATGTGCGCCCTGTGATAATTTGCTCATGCTTTGTGTTTCTGAATGTGATTAATAGTTCTCAACAGATAATTAGGAAGACAGATTTTAGAATAGTAGGTTGTTAGAACATCTTTCCAAAGTTTTTAAAAATGTCTATTTATTTATTTTCCTGCACTGTGATTTTCTTTTCTTACAGAGTGATTCTGAAATAAAACGGGGATTCAGTCCATATGCACTTATTTCTAATAGTAAAGGTGAAACATTTTTTTCAATGCCTTTTTGAAGCATTAATAAGCAAGAACTGTTCTTACCTTACACCTGGACTTTTCTTCAGTTCATTCTGCTAAGATCTTTGAACTTTATATCAAATATCTGCATACATCATAAATCAGTTTCTGACACACTATTTCTCCATTTTGAATGCTTGTTTCATTTGTATAGTAATTAATTGACAAGTCAAGATCTGCCTTATTACATTAAACACCACATACCTGGGATTTTTCATCTCCCAGTCTTTCCTCCTTAAGAGTTCTTTGTAAACTATGTGGACTACCTACATGATTAAGTTGTTGACAGAAGAAATGCCTTTTAAAGTGCCATCAACAGTGTATTAATTGGTGCAGGAAGGATTCATGACTGCAGCTATATAAAAATGTACTTAGCAGTTGCTTTAAAAGAATACAAGAAAAGAGGTTAGTTGTCCTACTTTTACCATTTCTGCAGCAGGAAAAGACAAATGGAGAGAAGCAAAGGTAACTTCAAGCAAAGGAGGCGTAAAATGTTTCCTGTATTATGGCCTTGATGAAACTAAAAGCAATCTCAGGGCCTGAGATATGCAAACATCTGTTAAATATAAAATATGATGGACAGACCACGTATGGTTTACATTCATGTATTTACAAGGAACGCGTATAACAACACATTCACCAGTTCTCTATTGACACATTAGCCCTGAAAAAAGGGGCATCAGGTAGTTAGTAGACAGAATATAAGATGAGAGATATCCTACTGCCATTATGATGACAGATGTAATAAATTCTTCAAGATGCATGCTTACATTCAGTTTTCAGTAATGCCTAATGATAAATTGTGACTAGATTTTTTGAG